CCGTGAGGATGAACCTGTTCACCAGAGACGCCCGCTCCTCCAGCGACCCGGTGCAGCCCAGGACCTGCACCGCCAGAGCCAGGGCCAGGGTCTCCAACCTGAGGACGAGAACCGGGACAAGAACCAGGGTTAGACCAGGAGAAGAATCGGGGTTAGTCCAAGAGAAGAACCAGATTTAGACCAGGAGAAGGACCAGGAGAAGGACCAGAGTCAGACACTTTCACTCCATTTTAGTCCTGAGTTTCTTTTGTTATTTTGATGGAACAAGATATTTAGAGATGTTTTTCTGGAGCATCTAAACTAAACTAAACTAAACCAGGTCTAAACCAGGTCTAAACCAGGTCTAAACCAGGACTAAACCAGGACTAAACCAGGACTAAACCAGGTCTAAACCAGGTCTAAACCAGGTCTAAACCAGGACTAAACCAGGTCTAAACCAGGTCTAAACCAGGACTAAACCAGGACTAAACCAGGTCTAAACCAGGACTAAACCAGGTCTAAAACCAGGACTAAACCAGGACTAAACCAGGACTAAACCAGGTCTAAACCAGGTCTAAACCAGGACTAAACCAGGTCTAAACCAGGTCTAAACCAGGTCTAAACCAGGTCTAAACCAGGACTAAACCAGGTCTAAACCAGGACTAAACCAGGTCTAAACCAGGTCTAAAACCAGGTCTAAACCAGGACTAAACCAGGTCTAAACCAGGTCTAAACCAGGACTGAACCAGGACTAAACCAGGTCTAAACCAGGACTAAACCAGGACTAAACCAGGACTAAACCAGGTCTAAACCAGGACTAAACCAGGACTAAACCAAAACTAAACCAGGACTAAACCAGAACTAAACCAGGTCTAAACCAGGACTAAACCAGGTCTAAACCAGGTCTAAACCAGGACTAAACCAGGTCTAAACCAGGACTAAACAAGGACTAAACCAAAACTAAACCAGGACTAAACCAGAACTAAACCAGGTCTAAACCAGGACTAAACCTAAACCAGGTCTAAACCAGGACTAAACCAGGACTAAACCAGGTCTAAACCAGGACTAAACCAGGTCTAAACCAGGTCTAAACCAGGACTAAACCAGGACTAAACCAGGTCTAAACCAGGACTAAACCAGGACTAAACCAGGAAACTAAACCAGGTCTAAACCAGGTAAACCAGGTCTAACCAGGACTAAAGGACTAAACCAGGTCTAAACCAGGACTAAACCAGGACTAAACCAGGACTAAACTAAACAGGTCTAAACCAGGACTAAACCAGGACTAAACCAGGAAACTAAAACCAGGACTAAACCAGGTCTAAACCAGGACTAAACCAGGACTAAACCAGGTCTAAACCAGGTCTAAACCAGGACTAAACCAGGACTAAACCAGGACTAAACCAGGACTAAACCAGGACTAAACCAGGTCTAAACCCGCCCTGGGACCCACCTCTCGAGCAGGTCCAGTCTGAGTTGTCGTCCGTGGGGCAGAGTGAGAAGCTCCACTCCAGACTGAGCTCCCATGATCCTCTGCTGCTGTGGACTCACCTGCACGATCCGCCCCACCTGCCCACACAGAGAGAACATGCAAACTTTACACAGACACAGAGAGAACATGCAAACTTTACACAGACACAGAGAGAACATGCAAACTTTACACAGACACAGAGAGAACATGCAAACTTTACACAGACACAGAGAGAACATGCAAACTTTACACAGACACAGAGAGAACATGCAAACTTTACACAGACACAGGGAGAACATGCAAACTTTACACAGACACAGAGAGAACATGCAAACTTTACACAGACACAGAGAGAACATGCAAACTTTACACAGACACAGAGAGAACATGCAAACTTTACACAGACACAGAGAGAACATGCAAACTTTACACAGACACAGAGAGAACATGCAAACTTTACACAGACACAGAGTGAACATGCAAACTTTACACAGACACAGAGAGAACATGCAAACTTTACACAGACACAGAGAGAACATGCAAACTTTACACAGACACAGAGAGAACATGCAAACTTTACACAGACACAGAGAGAACATGCAAACTTTACACAGACACAGAGAGAACATGCAAACTTTACACAGACACAGAGAGAACATGCAAACTTTACACAGACACAGAGAAACATGCAAACTTTACACAGACACAGAGAGAACATGCAAAACTTTACACAGACACAGAGAGAACATGAAACACAAGAGACACAGAGAGAACATGCAAACTTTACACAGACACAGAGAGAACATGCAAACTTTACACAGACACAGAGAGAACATGCAAACTTTACACAGACACAGAGAGAACATGCAAACTTTACACAGACACAGAGAGAACATGCAAACTCTCTGGAGCTTTTAAGGGCCGTTCACACCAAAGCGTCAAAACAAACAGGATAAAAATACTTGACGCGTCCGTTGCCCTGGAAACAAGAGCTCGGTCCAGATCTTTTCCCGAAACAATGTGAGACCAGACTGAGACTTGAGTGTTTTTATCACATAAAACATCAGTGGAGGAAATCGACTCAACGACTGGAGCCAGTTTATATTTATACTCCACTAATGACACTGGACCAGTCCCGGTCTAATCTCGGTCTAGTCTCCGTCTAGTCTCGGTCTACTCCCGGTCTAGTCTTGGTCTAATACTCATCTAGTCCCGGTCTAATCTTGGTCTAGTCCCGGACTATTCAGGGTCTAGTCCTTGTTTAGTCCCGGTCTAGTCCTGGTTTGGTCCTGGTCTAGTCTCCGTCTAGTCTCGGTCTACTCCTGGTCTAGTCCTGGTCTGGTCCTGGTTTGGTCCTGGTCTAGTCCTGGTTTGGTCCTGGTCTAGTCTTCGTCTAGTCTCGGTCTACTCCCGGTCTAGTCCTGGTCTGGTCCTGGTCTGGTCCTGGTGTAGTCCTGGTCTAGTCCTGGTCTGGTCCTGGTGATCGTCTCGGTGTTTGTGGTGTATATATTTATGTTCCGTTCATGTTTGTGGTTCTGGTTCTGGGGTTTTTCTTCCTGATAATAACGTCGCTGTGTCTCTGGATACTCGTCCCTGATTGGTCGACGCGGCGCGTCTGAGGTGAAAAGTTCAGCATTTTCAACTTCTTTTTTTTTCAACGCCAAAACGCTCAAGACGCACCACGTTGACGCCAGATTCACGCTGCACTGACGCTGAAGATGCGCCACAAAAACGCAGGACGACCCAGTCTCGTGTCCACATGGACTTTACATAGAAACTGGACACTTTGACGCTCTGGTGTGAACGAACCTTTAGTCGTGTTCTAATGTCATTTCTAATGTCACAAACCGACCTGGAGACAAACTGAAAACACTGAGGCCCTGTTCACACTAGTGTGTATGTGAGTGGTGTTGTTGTGTGTACAGTGTTTGTTCACATTAATCCAGTGGAAAATGTCTCCAGAGTCTGAAGGATCTGGTGCCTCCAGCTCCACGAGGTCATGTTGGTCCAGATGTGACGGGGACTGTGTGAAAACACTGATCCTCTGATGTGTGTCTGTCACCTCCAACTCATTCACCACAAAACACTAAGACACACAATATGTGTCCAGTCACATAAAGTGTGTCTGTGTGCACCACCTGCACACGTGTAATGTGTGAAAAGTTTCACATGAACCAACAACACGACACAAACACAGAACAGACTGAACATCAGCAGAACATCCCTCTGTCACACAGAGAGAACACCCCTCTGTCACAGAGAGAACACCCCTCTGACACACAGAGAGAACACCCCTCTGACACACAGAGAGAACACCCCTCTGTCACACAGAGAGAACACCCCTCTGACACAGAGAGAACACCCCTCTGACACAGAGAGAACACCCCTCTGTCACAGAGAGAACACCCCTCTGACACAGAGAGAACACCCCTCTGTCACAGAGAGAACACCCCTCTGACACAGAGAGAACACCCCTCTGACACACAGAGAGAACACCCCTCTGTCACAGAGAGAACACCCCTCTGACACACAGAGAGAACACCCCTCTGTCACACAGAGAGAACACCCCTCTGTCACAGAGAGAACACCCTCTGTCACAGAGAGAACACCCCTCTGACACAGAGAGAACACCCCTCTGTCACACAGAGAGAACACCCCTCTGTCACAGAGAGAACACACCCCTCTGTCACAGAGAGAACACCCCTCTGTCACAGAGAGAACACCCCTCTGTCACAGAGAGAAACACCCCTCTGACACAGAGAGAAACACCCCTCTGTCACACAGAGAGAACACCCTCTGTCACAGAGAGAACACCCCTCTGACACACAGAGAGAACACCCCTCTGACACAGAGAGAGAACACCCCTCTGTCACAGAGAGAACACCCCTCTGTCACAGAGAGAACACCCCTCTGTCACACAGAGAGAACACCCCTCTGTCACAGAGAGAACACCCCTCTGTCACACAGAGAGAACACCCCTCTGTCACAGAGAGAACACCCCTCTGTCACACAGAGAGAACACCCCTCTGTCACAGAGAGAACACCCCTCTGTCACACAGAGAGAACACCCCTCTGTCACAGAGAGAAACACCCCTCTGTCACACAGAGAGAACACCCCTCTGACACAGAGGAGAACACCCCTCTGTCACAGAGAGAACACCCTCTGTCACAGAGAGAACACCCCTCTGTCACAGAGAGAAACACCCCTCTGTCACACAGAGAGAAACACCCCTCTGTCACACAGAGAGAACACCCCTCTGACACACACAGAGAGAACACCCCTCTGTCACAGAGAGAACACCCCTCTGTCACAGAGAACACCCCTCTGTCACAGAGAGAACACCCCTCTGTCACACAGAGAGAACACCCCTCTGTCACAGAGAGAACACCCCTCTGTCACACAGAGAGAACACCCCTCTGTCACAGAGAGAACACCCCTCTGACACAGAGAGAACACCCCTCTGTCACAGAGAGAACACCCCTCTGTCACACAGAGAGAACACCCCTCTGACACAGAGAGAACACCCCTCTGTCACAGAGAGAACACCCCTCTGACACACAGAGAGAGAACACCCCTCTGTCACAGAGAGAGAGAACACCCCTCTGTCACAGAGAGAGAACACCCCTCTGTCACACAGAGAGAACACCCCTCTGACACACAGAGAGAGAACACCCCTCTGTCACAGAGAGAACACCCCTCTGACACAGAGAGAACACCCCTCTGACACAGAGAGAACACCCTCTGACACACAGAGAGAACACCCCTCTGTCACAGAGAGAACACCCCTCTGTCACACAGAGAGAACACCCCTCTGTCACAGAGAGAACACCCCCTCTGTCACAGAGAAGAACACCCCTCTGTCACAGAGAGAACACCCCTCTGACACAGAGAGAACACCCTCTGTCACAGAGAGAACACCCCTCTGTCACACAGAGAGAACACCCCTCTGACACAGAGAGAGAACACCCCTCTGACACACAGAGAGAACACCCCTCTGACACAGAGAGAAACACCCCTCTGACACACAGAGAGAAACACCCCTCTGTCACAGAGAGAACACCCCTCTGTCACACAGAGAGAACACCCCTCTGTCACAGAGAGAACACCCCTCTGTCACAGAGAGAACACCCCTCTGTCACAGAGAGAACACCCCTCTGACACAGAGAGAACACCCCTCTGACACAGAGAGAACACCCCTCTGTCACAGAGAGAACACCCCTCTGACACACAGAGAGAACACCCCTCTGTCACAGAGAGAACACCCCTCTGTCACACAGAGAGAACACCCCTCTGTCACACAGAGAGAACACCCCTCTGTCACAGAGAGAGAACACCCCTCTGTCACAGAGAGAACACCCCTCTGTCACAGAGAGAAACACCCCTCTGTCACACAGAGAGAACACCCCTCTGACACACAGAGAGAACACCCCTCTGTCACAGAGAGAACACCCCTCTGTCACAGAGAGAACACCCCTCTGTCACAGAGAGAACACCCCTCTGTCACAGAGAGAGAACACCCCTCTGACACACAGAGAGAACACCCCTCTGACACAGAGAGAGAACACCCCTCTGTCACAGAGAGAACACCCCTCTGTCACACAGAGAGAACACCCCTCTGTCACAGAGAGAACACCCCTCTGTCACAGAGAGAGAACACCCCTCTGTCACAGAGAGAACACCCCTCTGACACACAGAGAGAACACCCCTCTGACACACAGAGAGAACACCCCTCTGTCACACAGAGAGAACACCCCTCTGTCACAGAGAGAACACCCCTCTGTCACAGAGAGAACACCCCTCTGACACAGAGAGAACACCCCTCTGACACAGAGAGAACACCCCTCTGACAGAGAGAACACCCCTCTGACACAGAGAGAGAACACCCCTCTGACACAGAGAGAGAACACCCCTCTGTCACAGAGAGAACACCCCTCTGACACAGAGAGAACACCCCTCTGACACAGAGAGAAACACCCCTCTGACACACAGAGAGAACACCCTCTGACACAGAGAGAAACACCCCTCTGTCACAGAAGAGACACCCCTCTGACACAGGGAGAACACCCCTCTGTCACAGAGAGAGAACACCCCTCTGTCACACAGAGAGAACACCCCTCTGTCACAGAGAGAACACCCTCTGTCACAGGAGAGAACACCCCTCTGTCACACAGAGAGAACACCCCTCTGACACAGAGAGAACACCCCTCTGACACACAGAGAGAACACCCCTCTGACACAGAGAGAACACCCCTCTGTCACACAGAGAGAACACCCCTCTGTCACAGAGAGAACACCCCTCTGTCACACAGAGAGAACACCCCTCTGTCACAGAGAGAACACCCCTCTGTCACAGAGAGAACACCCCTCTGTCACAGAGAGAACACCCCTCTGACACAGAGAGAACACCCCTCTGACACAGAGAGAGAACACCCCTCTGACACACAGAGAGAACACCCCTCTGTCACAGAGAGAGAACACCCCTCTGACACACAGAGAGAACACCCCTCTGACACAGAGAGAACACCCCTCTGTCACACAGAGAGAACACCCCTCTGTCACAGAGAGAACACCCCTCTGTCACAGAGAGAGAACACCCCTCTGTCACAGAGAGAGAACACCCCTCTGTCACAGAGAGAGAACACCCCCTCTGTCACAGAGAGAACACCCCTCTGACACACAGAGAGAACACCCCTCTGTCACAGAGAGAACACCCCTCTGTCACAGAGAGAGAACACCCCTCTGTCACACAGAGAGAACACCCCTCTGTCACAGAGAGAACACCCCTCTGACACACAGAGAGAACACCCCTCTGACACAGAGAGAGAACACCCCTCTGTCACAGAGAGAACACCCCTCTGTCACACAGAGAGAACACCCCTCTGTCACAGAGAGAACACCCCTCTGACACAGAGAGAACACCCCTCTGTCACAGAGAGAACACACCCCTCTGACACACAGAGAGAACACCCCTCTGACACAGAGAGAACACCCCTCTGTCACACAGAGAGAACACCCCTCTGTCACACACAGAGAGAAACACCCCTCTGTCACAGAGAGAGAACACCCCTCTGTCACAGAGAGAACACCCCTCTGTCACAGAGAGAGAACACCCTCTGACACAGAGAGAGAACACCCCTCTGACACACAGAGAGAACACCCCTCTGTCACACAGAGAGAACACCCTCTGTCACAGAGAGAACACCCCTCTGTCACACAGAGAGAACACCCCTCTGACACAGAGAGAACACCCCTCTGACACAGAGAGAACACCCCTCTGTCACAGAGAGAACACCCCTCTGACACAGAGAGAACACCCCTCTGACACAGAGAGAACACCCCTCTGACACAGAGAGAGAACACCCCTCTGTCACACAGAGAGAACACCCCTCTGACACAGAGAGAACACCCCTCTGACACAGAGAGAACACCCCTCTGTCACACAGAGAGAACACCCCTCTGTCACAGAGAGAACACCCCTCTGACACACAGAGAGAACACCCCTCTGACACAGGAAGAACACCCCTCTGTCACACAGAGAGAAACACCCCTCTGACACACAGAGAGAACACCCCTCTGACACACAGAGAGAACACCCCTCTGTCACAGAGAGAACACCCCTCTGACACAGAGAGAACACCCCTCTGTCACACAGAGAGAACACCCCTCTGACACACAGAGAGAGAACACCCCTCTGACACACAGAGAGAACACCCCTCTGACACACAGAGAGAACACCCCCTCTGTCACAGAGAGAACACCCCTCTGACACAGAGAGAACACCCCTCTGACACAGAGAGAACACCCCTCTGACACACAGAGAGAACACCCCTCTGTCACAGAGAGAACACCCCTCTGACACAGAGAGAACACCCCTCTGTCACAGAGAGAACACCCCTCTGACACAGAGAGAACACCCCTCTGACACAGAGAGAGAACACCCCTCTGACACACAGAGAGAACACCCCTCTGTCACAGAGAGAACACCCCTCTGTCACAGAGAGAACACCCCTCTGACACAGAGAGAACACCCCTCTGTCACAGAGAGAGAACACCCCCTCTGTCACACAGAGAGAAACACCCCTCTGTCACAGGAGAGAAACACCCCTCTGACACAGAGAGAACACCCCTCTGACACACAGAGAGAACACCCCTCTGACACACAGGAGAGAACACCCCTCTGTCACAGAGAGAACACCCCTCTGACACAGAGAGAACACCCCTCTGACACAGAGAGAACACCCCTCTGTCACAGGGAGAACACTCATATGAGTCACTGTGTCCTTTAGTCCAACACAAACTGAACCACATCAGACACAAGAAACAGTTTTTTTCACACACATTAGTTTATGTAAATGAGTCATGTGATTTAACGTTTAGTTTCTGTAAAACTTAAATGTGCTGAGTCGTGTGTAGAGGGAAAACTGACGGACACAGAAACGACGTGTCTGGACGCAGATCAGTTTCTGATTTGGTGATACACGGATTCGTTTCAGTGTAAACGGGGTCTTTGTTCCACCTCATGATGTCATCATGCGGTGATACAGGAAGTGCTCCACTGTGTTTTTAAACTCCACACATCTTCACTAGAATCGTTTGGATTATTTCAGTCTCAGAGTTTCAATCTCAACTGAACTAAAGGGAAAAGGAGCTGAGAACGAGATGACATCACAAGGTGGAAGAGAGCGTTTTGTGTTTGAGAGAAGAACTCAGAACTCCAGAGCGTCTGGTGTTTGCGTCGGTTTCGTGTTTGCGTCGGTTCGTCGTGTTTTGCGTCGTTTCGTGTTGCGTCTCGTGTTTGCGTCGGTTTCGTGTTTGCGTCGGTCTCGTGTTTGCGTCGGTTTCGTGTTTGCGTCGGTCTCGTGTTTGCGTCCGTCTGGAGCGTCTCACCTCGCAGTCGGCCTTGGTGATGTGCAGAGCGGCCGTCTTGGGGTGGACCTGGGCCAGGATGTGTTTGACCCTCCGCAGGACGTCGGCTTCCAGAGGGCGGTTCTCCGGGGACATCAGCGCCGACCGGTACGACAGCGGCCGGAAACAGGACGTGGACTCGACCCGGGGGCTGAAGCGGGACGTGGACTCGGACGCGCCGGGGACGTTTTTAGCCTTCAGCTTCTCGGAGCTCCGGTCCTCGACGCGCAGACGCTCCACGTAGCTCTGAGGCACCAGCTCAGTGTAGCCGCTCGAGTCCTGGTCCGAGTCCTGGTCCTGGTCCAAAACTCGGTCTGGATTCTGTTTTGAGTCCTCACGCAGATACTGCTTTAAGTCCTGGTTTGATTCTTGGTCTTGGTGTTTGTCCTTAAACCGGTTTAAATCCTGTAGGTCCAGAGGTTTGTCCATGTTCTGTTCTGGATCCTGGTTCAGGTCCTGGTTTAGGTCCTGGTTCAGGTCCTGGTTCAGGTCTTGGGTTGAGTCCTGGGTTGGTGAGATGATCAGTTGGTTGGGCTCGTTTGTCGGGGGCGGGGACAGGTGCTCGGACCTGCCACAGTCCGGCTCTGAGACTTTAAGCTCCTCAGATCTGAGACGAGACTCTGGGGACTCGTCCGTCTCCGAGGGAAGAGTCGATCTGTGGAAAAACAGAAACACACAAAGGTTTTATTCAAATACGACTCAAAAAATACAAAATTTCTCTCTTTTAACTTTTTCTGTCTCAAAGTTTGACTCTTTCACAGAATTTATTCCTAAAAACAAACATGAAAACAAAGAGATTTCATCAGAATCATCAAAGTTACTCATTTGAATTGTGCAGTAAAAGGAGCTGTTCACTTGGAAACTGTCAACTGATGACATCACAAGGTGGAGCAGAGCGTTTGGAGCTTTGGAAAAGTAACAGACTCAGAACAGGGTCAGTCCAGATGAAATCAGCCGCCCCCCCCAGATTTCGTGCTACTATTTTCTCTTTTTTCTACTTCCGGGGGCAAAGCAAAATGTCACACAACTGAAAAAGCAAAAATATTCACAAATAAAATACAAAAAACAGTAACTGCAATATTCTGACACAATCTCAATACTTGAACAAATAAAATAATAACCTTCTCACTTATTATCATAAAAACAAATATACTGATATTATCGTCAGTTACAGTTACTATTGTGCAGTACAAGTAAATATGAATAATTAGTCATTGGTAATTGACTCAGACTCTCACTGTGTAACATCCACGAGTCAAACAACTGGAAGAAAAACCTGACACAGACCCGCGCACACAGACCCGCGCACACAGACCCGCGCACACAGACCCGCGCACACAGACCCGCGCACACAGACCCGCGCACACAGACCCGCTCACACAGACCCGCTCACACAGACCCGCGCACACAGACCCGCGCACACAGACCCGCGCACACAGACCCGCGCACATGTCACCAAACACAACACACAGTCCTGACGTGTGCACAGGCGACCGGGACCACACGTACACACACGTACACACACGTACACACACGTACACACACGTACACACACGTACACACACGTACACACACGTACACACACGTACACACACGTTACACACACTTACACACACGTACACACACGTACACACACGTACACACACGTACACACACGTACACACACGTACACACACACACACGTACACACACGTACACACACTTACACACACGTACACACACGTACACACACGTACACACACGTACACACACGTACACACACGTACACACACGTACACACACGTACACACACGTACACACACGTACACACACGTACACACACTTACACACACTTACACACACGTACACACACGTACACACACGTACACACACGTACACACACGTACACACACGTACACACACTTACATCCCTAATTATTCTTTTGTTGTAAATGATATTTTGATCATTTCCGCTCATCTGACGACAACAAAACTCCACAAAACCAGTGAAGAGAAACGACGTGAGGCTGAAGTCTGGATCAGTGTGAAGGAACTCGCTGACAGAACCGTGTCAAGTGTTTAAAGACCTGGACCAAGACCTGGACCAAGACCTGGACCAAGACCTGGACCGGACCTGGACCGGACCTGGACCAAGACCTGGACCAGACCTGGACCAGACCTGGACCAAGACCTGGACCAAGACCTGGACCTGGACCGGACCAAGACCTGGACCGGACCTGGACCAGGACCTGGACCTGGACCAGGACCTGGACCGGACCTGGACCAAGACCTGGACCGGACCTGGACCAAGACCTGGACCAGACCTGGACCAAGACCTGGACCAGACCTGGACCAGACCTGGACCAGACCTGGACCAAGACCTGGACCAAGACCTGGACCAAGACCTGGACCAGACCTGGACCAGACCTGGACCAAGACCTGGACCAGACCTGGACCAGACCTGGACCAGACCTGGACCAGACCTGGACCAGACCTGGACCAGACCTGGACCAGACCTGGACCAGACCTGGACCAAGTGGACCAAGACCTGGACCAAGACCTGGACCAGACCTGGACCAAGACCTGGACCAGACCTGGACCAAGACCTGGACCAGACCTGGACCAAGACCTGGACCAAGACCTGGACCAGACCTGGACCAGACCTGGACCAAGACCTGGACCAAGACCTGGACCAGACCTGGACCAGACCTGGACCAGACCTGGACCAGACCTGTGTGGTGGAATAAGAGACACATTCGCCTCCAGGATTCTTTTTTTTTCTACAAATTAAAGTCGTTTGACTCTCACCTGTGAGACCTGCTCTGCTCTTCTGCCCGCAGGAGGCGCTCTTCTGCACCCTGCACACAAACAACACAAACACACGACACATGTCACTCATATGGACCAATCTATGTCTCCCTCTAGTGGGCAAACTCAAAAATGACACTTTTAAAATCTCCCTGATTTTTTTTTGTTATAAACTAAACTAAAAAGAATAAGTTTATTATAAAAACATCACAGCTCCAGAGTTTTTCCTCTCGGATCTTCTACATCCAGACCGAGACCGGACCAGACCTGGACCAGACCTGGACCAGACCTGGACCGAGACCTGGACCGAGACCGGGACCGAGACCTGGACCGAGACCTGGACCAGACCTGGACCAGACCTGGACCAGACCTGGACCGAGACCTGGACCGAGACCTGGACCAGACCTGGACCGAGACCTGGACCAGACCTGGACCAGACCGGGACCAGACCTGGACGAGACGGAGACCTGGACCAGACCTGGACCAGACCTGGACCGAGACCTGGACCAGACCTGGACCGAGACCTGGACCAGACCTGGACCAGACCTGGACCTGGACCGAGACCTGGACCGAGACCGGACCAGACCTGGACCGAGACCTGGACCAGACCTGGACCAGACCTGGACCGAGACCTGGACCGAGACCGGGACCGACCGAGACCTGGACGAGACCTGGACCAGACCTGGACCAGACCTGGACCGAGACCTGGACCGAGACCGGGACCAGACCGGGACCAGACCGGGACTGAAAACGGTTCAGTCCATTATCCGTTTTTTTCCATTTTTCATTTAAACACAAAATCGAAAACTGAAAAAATGAATCTTTATGTTTTTTTTTCATTTTGGTTTTGGAGACAAATAATGAAAAAAAAAAAGGTTGTTCTTTTTCTTATTTTTGTTTTTATTTTGAAAAACGAATGATCGAACGACACACAGATTAAAGTTGTGTTGACGTCTGGTGCTGTTTTGTTGCTCTTGTGTTTTGTCTTCAGGTGTTTGATTCAATTTCTCAAATTAAATGAGGCATTTTTCTTTCGCCTCTCGACACTTTGGCACAACGTCCCTGAAACTGAAAAACTGAAAACTGCTGACGACCACATGATGGAGCGATTTATCTATACTTATGTCAAGTCGTGCAAATGAACAAACAAACGAACAAACAAACGAACGACCGAATGAACAAACGAACGAACGAACGACTGAACGAAAAAAACGACCGAACGAACGACTGAACGAACAAACAAATGAACGACCGAACGAAAAAAATGACCGAACGAACGACCAAACGAATGAACGAATGACCGAACGAACGAATAAATAAACGAACGACCGACTGAATGACCGAACAAACAAATGAAGGACCAAACGAACAACGGAATGAATGAACAAATGACCAAACGAACGACCAAACGAACGACCGAACGAATGAAGGAACGAACAAATGCCCGAACGAACGAACGAATGAAGAAACGACCGAACAAACAAACGACCGAACGAACAACCAAACGAATGACTGAACGAACAACTGAACGAACGAACGAACGAGCGATCGAACGACCGAACGACCGAACGAACAAACGAACAAACGACCGAACGAACAACCAAACGAACAACTGAACGACCGAACGACTGAACGAACAACTGAACGACCGAACGAACAAACGATCGAACGACTAAACGAACGAACAAACGAATGACTGAACAAACGAACGAACCAACGACCGAACCAACGACCAAACAATCGACCAAACGAACGAACGACTGGCCTGGTGAGCGTCAGTGATGTTGTGTAGAGTCTGTAACTGTTACATCGGAGCACAGTGTCCACAAATGTTTAACAAGCACAAGTACGAGTTTAAATCAGCTGAGCAACATCACGAGACTCTGAGGAAAACTCTGAAGAAAACTCTGAGGAAAACTCTGAGGAAAACTCTGAGGAAAACTCTGAGGAAAACTCTGAGGAAAACTCTGAGGAAAACTCTGAGGAAAACTGTGACGCAGGAGCAAAACAAACTGACAGGAGGAAAAAAGAAGTGTAGAAGATAAAGACAGAACACACCTGTATCTGTCTTTATCTGACCACAGACTGTACCTGCAGAGGGAGGGGCCCCTGGGAACGCTCCATTCTCCGGTCCAGACCCGGGACCAGACCCGAGACCAGACCCGGGACCAGACCCGGGACCAGACCCGGGACCAGACCCGGGACCAGACCTGGATCTTCACGGAGATTCGTCTTTGAAAACTGCAACAACAACAACAAAAACAAAAAAACAGCGGGTTATAAATCTGTGTTTTTTCTCTGGAGGAAAATGGGTCCTGGTCCGGACTCTCAGATCTGGTTACGATCCTGGACGAGTCTCGGGAGACTTGTTCACATCTGAGCCCGACTGAAGAACAGTTCAGTACAATCAGAGACCAGAGACGAGACACGAGAGACACGGGGGGGACACTGACACTGAGGGGCCCCAGTGTTTTATGGAAGACAAACACTCCTCTCTCCACACACACACACACACACACACAACACACACACACACACACACACACACACACACACACACACACACACACACACACACACACACACACACACACACACACACACACACACACACACACACACACACACACACACACACACACACACACACACACACACACACACACACACACACACACACACACACACACACACACACACACACACACACACACACACACACACACACACACACACACACACACACACACACACAACACACACACACACACACACACACACACAACACACACACACACACACACACACACACACACACACACACACACACACACACACACACACACACACACACACACACACACACACACACACACACACACACACACACACACACACAACACACACACACACACACACACACACACACACACACACACACAACACACACACACACACACACACACACACACACACACACACACACACAACACACACACACACACACACACACACAACACACACACACACACAACACACACACACACACACACACACACACACACACACACACACACACACACACAACACACACACACACACACACACACACACACACACACACACACACAACACACACACACACACACACACACACACACACACACACACACACACACACACACACACACACACACACACACACACACACACACACACACACACACACAACACACACACACACACACACACACACACACACACACACACACACACACACACACACACACACACACACACACACACACACACACACACACACACTCCCTCTCTCTCTTCTTTTCTTCTTTCTCTCACAGACGACACTGGACAGTAAAAGACCTTTATCCCTCCAGTCTCTCTCTCTCTCTCTTCTTCTCTCTCTTTCTCTCTCGTTCTCTCCCACACACACACTCCTTCCTTCACTCTCCCTTCTCTCCTTCTCTCTTCCTTCTCTCTCTCTCAAACACACTCCATTTTCTCTCTCCCTCTCACACATACACTCCCTCTTTCTCTCTTTTCTTTCTCTCTCTCTCTCTCTCTCTCCTTTCTCTCTCTCCCTTCTTCTCTCTCTCCCTTCTTCTCTCTCTCTCTCCTCTCTCTCTCCTTTCTCTCTCTCTCTCTCTCTCTCTCTCTCCTTTCTCTCTCTCTCCTTTCTCTCTTTCTCCCTTCTTCTCTGTCTCCCTTCTCTCTCTCTCACACGCTCCCTCTTTCTCTCTGTCTTTCTCGCTCCTCTTTCCCTTTCCCTCTCTTCTCTCTCTCTCAGAGGACAGTAAAACAGTAAAAGACCTTTGTCCCTCCAGCCTCACTCCTTTCTCTTCTTTCTTTCTCTTTCTCTCTCTCTCTCTCACACACACACTCCCTCTTTCTCTCTTTCTTGCTCCTTTCTCTCTCCCTTTCTTCTTTCTCCTCATTTCTCTCTCCTGCCCTCTTTCTCTCCCTCTCTCTTCTCTGTCAGAGAACAGTAGATCACAGTTGGACAGTGAAACAGCCTCTCTCCTTTCTCTCTCTTTCTCACTCCCTCTCTCTCGTCCTCTTTCACTCTCACACACACACTCCTTCCTTCTCCCTCCCTCTCTTTATTCCTTTCTCTTTCTCTCTCTCTCTCTCTCTTTTTTTCACACACACTCTCTTCTCTGTCAGAGGACAGTAGATCACAGTTGGACAGTGAAACAGTAAAAGACTTTTATCCTCCAGCCTCTCTTCTTTCTCTGAGGGGGGGGGGGGGGGGCACAGGGGGCATCAGGGTGGCACGGGGTGGGGGGGGGGGTGGGGGGGTCTGTGGCACGTGAGGGGGGCGTCTCTCTCTCTCTCTCTCTGTGATGATGTAACGTCTCATAAACAAAACAACAACAGAGACTCCGACCAATCACAGCCTCCGTCTGCCGTCGCCATGGAAACCAGCAACAACACAGGAAGAATTCAGGACCAAGACCAGGACCAAGACCAGACCAAGACCAAGACCAAGACCAGGACCAGGACCAAGACCAGGACCAAGACCAAGACCAGGACCAAGACCAAGACCAGGACCAAGACCAAGACCAAGACCAGGACCAAGACCAGGACCAGACCAGGACCAAGACCAAGACCAAGACCAAGACCAGGACCAAGACCAAGACCAGGACCAGGACCAAAGGACCAAGACCAGAACCAAGACAGAACCAAGACCAGGACCAGGACCAAGACCAGACCAAGACCAAGACCAAGACCAGGACAAGGACCAAGACCGGACCAGACCAAGACCAGGACCAAGACCAGGACCAGGACCAGACCAGACCAAGACCAGGACCAAGACCAGGACCAAGACCAGGACCAGGACCAAGACCAGAACCAAGACCAGACCAAGACCAAGACCAGGACCAAGACCAAGACCAGGACCAGACCAGGAACCAAGACCAGGACCAGACCAAGACCAGGACCAAGACCAGGACCAAGACCAGGACCAGGACCAAGACCAGGACCACCAAGACCAGGACCAAGACCAGGACCAAGACCAGGACCAAGACCAGACCAACCAAGACCAGGACCAAGACCAGACCAGACAGGACCAAGACCAGACAAGACCAGGACCAGACCAAGACCAGGACCAAGACCAGACCAAGACCAGACCAGACCAAGACCAAGACCAGGACCAGGACCAAGACCAGGACCAGATCTGACAGGTCCAGTCCAGAGGAACCAGAACTTTAAAGTCTCTGATGTGATTAAACGTCCAAACTGTAAAACAAACGTCACATTCAAATAACTGAAAATGTTTTTGTCTCACCTTCAAGTCGTCTCCACCGTCCTGCTGCTCCCTGAAACCACAGACTCAGGTCACACTCAGGTCACACTCAGGTCACACTCAGGTCACACTCAGGTCACACTCGCCCTAAACCAGGACTAAACCAGGACTGTTTCTGAGTTCTTCTCTCAGACTGAAAACTCTCTGTTCCACCTCGTGATGTCATGAAATGTTTCAGGTGGAGCAGAACCGTGTCCATGGAGACAAACAGGAGAGAGAGAGAGAGAGAGAGAGAGAGAGAGAGAGAGAGAGAGAGAGAGAGAGAGAGAGAGAGAGAGAGAGAGAGAGAGAGAGAGAGAGAGAGAGAGACGAGAGAGAGAGAGAGAGAGAGAGAGAGAGAGAGAGAGAGAGAGAGAGAGAGAGAGAGAGAGAGAGAGAGAGCGAGAGAGAGAGAGAGAGAGAGCGAGAGAGAGAGAGAGAGAGAGAGAGAGAGAGAGAGAGAGAGAGAGAGAGAGAGAGAGAGAGAGAGAGAGAGAGAGAGAGGCCCTCGTGTCCGTCAGTGTCCACGCGCATCGGAGCGGAACAGTTACGTAACAGAATCCTGAGTCTGAACTCGAGTCCCCCGAGTCCTGCTCCAGGTCACACCTCCTGCTCTTTACCTGCACTTTAACTCATCAGCAAAGTCCGAATAAAGTCAAAGTTTACGCACAGATTCTCTCCGGACACGCGTGGAAAAGTGCACGCGCCTCTGCCGCGCGACACAAACACGAACTTTAAACTTTAAACTTTAAACTTTAAACTTTAAACGGTTTAAGGAGCAGAACTTTTCGGGATCAGAAGTTGAAGCGCGAGAAAAACATAAAAATCCACACTGATCCAAACCCACGCGCCCCGCGCGCGCGGCGGGACAAAGTGTTCAGAACTTTCACCAAACTTTAACGTCACGAAAAAACGCGCTCCGACTTTTACGCACGAGCGCAGTGCGCACAGCTGACCGCGCGTCGCCATAGCAACTGCCGCTCGTGCACGTGACCTCACCTGCCGTTCGCTCGCGCCCGGTTCCGCGGCTGTCACGGGGGCGCGCACACCCCGGTCCCGCGCGTCTGTGCGGGTCTGAGCCGCAGGTTCAGAAGAGCAGAGGTTCTGATGTTCTGATGTTCTGATGTTCTGAATGTTCTGATGTTCTGATTTCTGATTCTGAGGTTCTGATGTTCTGAGGTTCTGATGTTCTGATGTTCTGATGTTCTGATGTTCTGAGGTTCTGAGGTTCTGATGTTCTGATGTTCTGATGTTCTGAGGTTCTGAGGTTCTGATGTTCTGAGGTTCTGATGTTCTGATGTTCTGAGGTTCTGAGGTTCTGAGGTTCTGATGTTCTGAGGTTCTGAGGTTCTGATGTTCTGTTCTGAGTTCTGATTCTGAGGTTCTGATGAGATTCTGAGGTTCTGAACTGATGTTCTGCTGATGATCCTGACTGATCCTCTGTCACAGGCTCAGGAAAAAACTCCTGAAGTGACGTCACTCAGAAGAAGCATTTTTAAAAACTACTTAGAATATTTAGAATATTCTGGGCGCTTGTTGCTTTTGTTTAAATGTATAAATGTGTTCAGGGTTTGGGTTCCCTCACACAGAACCTGAGCAGAACCAGAGGAGAACCACAGTGGAGAACCAAAACCAGAGCAGAACCTGAACCAGAGTCCAGAGTCTGATCCAGAGCAAAAGAAAACCTACAGAGTGAAGGTTCCAGAGAAACACTGCAGGAGCTGTTCCATGATCAAAGTCACTGTGGAACTTAAAGAGTCACTGTGGAACTTTTCAAATGTGGAAACACCAGTTAACAGTCATACCATTACAGCCTTACAGTTCTTGAGCGAGCTTGCCTCTCCACAGATCTGACCTAGAACTTGGTTTGGTGAATTACACAGTGCAGCTTTAACTCCTGTGGCACTTTAAAGGACTTAAAACACCTGGTGACATCAGCAGGTGTGACAGAGTGTTGTGAACCGAGCACAGAGAGACGGGAAACAAAACACCACTGCGGGACATTTCCTCACAGTAGAACAGAGTTAAAGCTCCACTGCGGGACATTTCCTCACAGAAGAACAGAGTTAAAGCTCCACTGCGGGACATTTCCTCACAGTAGAACAGAGTTAAAGCTCCACTGCGGGACATTTCCTCACAGTAGAACAGAGTTAAAGCTCCACTGCGGGACATTTCCTCACAGTAGAACAGAGTTAAAGCTCCACTGCGGGACATTTCCTCACAGTAGAACAGAGTTAAAGCTCCACTGCGGGACATTTCGTGAGTAGAAGAGGTTTGTGTCTGACCTGAGCTGTTGTTCTCTCGTCTCGTTGCCTCTCAGCTCCTTCTTCACCGGCTCCATCAGGACGTAGACGCCCTCACACTCCTCCTCCTCCACCTTCTTCTTCACCTCCTTCTCGTCCTCTTCCTCCTCGTCTCCGGCGCTCCGACGCTTCACCTGCGCCTCCAGCACACCTGAGCGAGGGGGAGGAGTCAGGTGGGAGGTGGGAGGAGCCAGAGTGTGCAGCGCTCCGAGTAGAGGAGAGTCCCGCACGTTCTCCAGAGGCGACAGAGAC